AATTTAATCCATACCAATTTCCAGTTATTGTTATTCTTTTTCTTATTTAATTCATCTGCTTTTTCTATATTTTCGTGTGATATTTCGGACTCACTGTCTGTCAAAGTCGTCCAGTTAAACACCGTATCTGATTTCTGTTTTTTCTTCGCGTTCTCCTTTTTGTTACAGTATTTTTGTGTTATAGTAGCCTTCTTCTTTACTTTCTTAACTGTGTCAGCATATGTGTTTTTATTTTGTGATGCAGATCTTTTTTCTGTGTCTGTACTTTGGTTTAACACCTGATGTTCTATTTCCGTATCTTGTACTCTTCCTTGTAACTTTTGCACGTTATTTGGTTCAGGGGGGACGTAAAGTGTTAGAGCTCTTTTGTAAGTGCAATTAAACTCCGCCATTAATTCCCTTATTTTCCTTTCTTTTAAATATATTGGGCATGTACGAGACAGTGCCATGTGTTTACCAGAGCAATTATTACACTTGTAGCTTACAGTGTCACAATTGGGGTGAGACTGGGTACATTTAGGACAGATCTCTTTAACAGATGAACAAACTCGGACTGTGTGCCCGAATCTCCAACAACGAGAACATTGAGTTACGGAAATTGATAAGGACTAACTTTTATCCTAGTTTCAAATATGTATACGTAGGCAGGTAAGGATGATCCTTTAAAAGTTATTCTGACTGTTTCTCCAGGTTCCCACAGGCCACTATTTGTGTTACGGCGTTTTAATCTCTTAATACCTGTTATCTCAGTATCACAAGTTAAACCCTCGAGTATTTCTATCCTCGATGAATCTAAGTCTATATCTTTAATAACACCATAACTTTCTTTTATCTCTAGTGTTTTTTGGCATTTCAGTCCTTTTTCTTTAAAATATTGAGATTCTATCAGTTTATTTGCACTTTCTTCGTTACTAAATTGGATAAGAACTTTGAATGCGTTAATGTATTTAATTTTTGTAATGTCCGGGATGTTTTCTAATTTTAACAACTTGGCAAGTCCAAACTGTTTTGGTATTTTGTCTGCGAAGTATACTAATTTCTATTTTATCTTCAGGTATTCTTATCTCATCGGACACCTGGCTTGTTCGGGCAAAACGTTTACCCCGCCTCGTTATATTTGTCCACATTTCATCGTGATCAATCTGTCTAGTTCTTTTACTGCATCTCACTCCGTCAGTTTCTTCAATATTTTGTATAGATTCTTCTAATATCTCCATATTCTCACAATTACTAATAGTCTCCCTACACGCTCCTATTTCATTATTCTCAATAGCTATCTCAATTGATGGTTCGAATTCAAGTTCGCAACTATCCATCACTGATAAGCATTTCTAAACAATTAAACATATGCGCGGTCGAGCGCAAGTGGTCAAACCGGTTCAAAATTGCCACAATATGCGCGTCTTACGATAACACGCGCTCGCGCGCAACGATAACATCAAGATAATGAGAACAATATGCGGAGACATGGAGACTAAACGGAGAAAGTAAAATTGTAACGTAGGATGTCTTGCGGCTCTTTTCTTATGTAAGATCTATAGCTAGATACTTGTGTAAAAATTTAATAAGAATCTGGAATGTTATATAGGTAGTATTTAGACTATTTCTATAGAAAGTCTATTGTACAATAAAATTCCATTGATTGGCCATACTGGTTAACAAAGATTTTTAGGGCACAGAAAAGATGTCTGAGATCAATGTTTACACTTAAAGTTACTAATAGTTGCAGGCCATACTTTGAACAGTATAGGATTCTCACAATGCCATCGTTATACATTCTCGAAATAGTTTTATTTGTTATGTATAACTCTCATTTATTTCCGCGTCTTGAGGATAAAACTCAGCGTAACAGGCGTGATTACACAAAACTTTGTCTTCATCCTTGTAAGACCGCGCTTATGCGCAGAAATGTATTTTGCATGGCACCTATAATATTTAACAAATTGCCAAAATCATGGAGAGAACTAGGTGCCAACCATATCAAGCGAAAGCTTAGACTTTTTTTATTACAGAAGGTCTACTATAGTGTCACCGAATTCTTAAATGACACAGTTATTTGATTGAAGTAAGACATGGCTATTATTTTATAAATTATGATTATTTTATTGGTTGTGATTGTTTCATTGGTTATGTGATTCTTACTATGAGTGTGACATATTGTACGAATTTAATTATGACATAACTGTATCTATAATTTTAATTTTGACATACCTACCTACATACAATTTTATTTGACATTTATAAATGTTTAACGCTGATAATATGATTATTACTTACAAAAAAATTTGCATGCCATGACAAGTGGTAAACATGTATTAAGTGCAACTGTTCTATTTTTTATCATCCTACATACATGCACCTGCGTGTGTGTGTATGTATACACATGTTTTTGCGAATAAATTTGATTTGATTTGATTTGATTTGAAAGAATAGGTGTATTTCTCACAAAAATATACAGGTATTTTTACAAGTTATATTTTTATCTGCATTCATTCTTCATTATTTCAATATGTTCCAATATGCCACTTATGTCATATTCCACTGCATTATACAGTTCATTTGCTAGACGCTATTTTATTACTGAAAACAATTTCGTAATCAATACTTTGCCTGAGACAATGATCTTCATCTAAACATAATTTACATGCAACTTGTTACTAACCATTGATAAAATTTATGGGATTTTCCAAATTTGGTTGTCCTAAAGAGTCCATTAAAAAACCTACGCTAAGTCCAAGGTCGATTTCATAAGATTTTCTGACCCCGTTATAGTACCGAACATGCATCGAAATGCCCATTTAATGATTAAACATTTGAAACCAGAATCAATCTAGTTTAGTCTCAAATAGTATAAAAACTAGTAGCATGTTACCTTAATAGTTACCTACTTACCTCAAATGAGAGGCCGGTAGAGCAACTAAACTTGAATCGTATGTTAATGTCTAGTGCAATCTTGTACTTGTATGTATAACTATCCTCTAATTGTGTCGTGGAGAACCTAACGGGTAACCGGGGCTCCGGCTCGATGTGCAGGAGAAGGAACGGTGTGGTTTTAGTCAGTAAGAGTCTGACACTCCCTCCCGCCTCACCCAGGCGGGAGCAGTCATTCGATGATTTTCCCCCCTTAAAAAAAAACCCTCTAAGTGTATAAGCATTTTTAGTCTATTTACGGCTTGTAATACTTTACTCGTTATTATTAAAAAAAAATAGACGGATACACATTAAAATGCACCTACGGTTCTGTAGCTACGATTATCGATTACAGTCTCTGTCTAATAGCCTAATTGTAAAGGGAACAAAAAATCTCGCACCTACACAAATTAATGACGTCGATATTGAACTAGAAAACAGAACCCTATAAAGCCTACCATCGGCATTCATTGCACTTATTTAAGTTATTTGGACAGTATTCCAATTCGTACTTATTTTAAGTTAATAAATCATCATCCGAATGATCATGAACCATTAATCACTATGATTAAGTTGTTTTTAATTTATGCATTCTGTTAGCGATTTAAACCGTAATGTTTATTAAATTAGTCTTATATTTCTTTGTATAGCAATCGTTTCTACAATACGATTCTAAAAGCAAAACCTTGATGCAGTACACAACAGTGGATGCCTAAATGACTCCCTTGACTTTATTAGAGCATTCCAAAACAAAATTGTATCAGTGCACCTAATACCTAAGATTAACGTCATTGGTTTCGCCACAAAAGTGAGAGGAGGAACGCTTCTCCACACTATGCGTCGACTTTAGCTGATCTTGACATTTCATTGAACTGATATTTCCATCTGCATGCACTAAGCACGCAAGGTGTATTAGATATACCTACTCTCTTTTTTATTAAAAATAGTAAATGATTTTATTTAAAAATCATTGAGGTTATAATATTATTATCATTTAGGTTGACCTTGAACATTTTCATAATTGTCCTGAACACTAAAGAATTTTTACTGACAAGTCTGTTATGTCAATTATCAAAAGTTTTTATGCCAAACATTCTATTCAATGGGGTGCCTTTGTATTCAGGAAAATGTATTAGTTACCATACATAAATATTTTTATTTAGATACTCTAGTATGTAGTGACATACCGCCTTTGTGCATAACCTAAGTACCTATATTTTGGTGTTTCTTCTCAGAGTACCACTGATATAATTAGACTACCTAGTTAAAGAAAAAGTACGCATCTGTAACTTATTTATCTGGAACAAACGTTATTTATTTAATTTTTACTATATAAATATGAATTTATTTCCATTTACCATTTCCAGAAGGAAGATTTGTAGAGTACCTAAGAACTATGAGAAATAATATGCATAAATAAGCTATATTTTTATTACCATAGAATATAGGTAATGCTGTTATAAGCTCCAGTGAATCGATTAACAAACTAGCATACAATATATTATACTTACTTATTTCATGTACAAAAAAGTACTAGTCAACTATGTAGTATTTAAAGCGCCTGATAGATTCACCAAACTATTTTGTTTGCTGTAAATTGAATACAAAATATCTTCAGGCGTTTAAAGTCATGTATAATAAATATATATACCTAGTTATTTTTATTTTATTTTTGTATTCACATATGGTGTACTATGTGATAACAAAATAATGTTTATTGTATTGAATCTATTAAGGTAAATAAGACGTATTCTTATCATGAAACATTTTCATTAGTTTTTGATGTATTTACAGTAGCTTGAAGACAGACTACTTAAAAGAAAATGAAACAACCAAATGGTATAACAATCCTTTATTTAATAATATTAAATTAAATATTAACAATACAAACCAGGTTATTGACTTAGAAAATCTTACGATATAATTATATCACTTTTAAACACTAATTAACAGTTCATCCACAGAAAGCTTCAGGCTTCAGGTAGGATTTGAATTCGATTGTCCATATTAACACAACGTTCACTCGTACTGACTTTAAGTCAACAATAATTTGATTATTAAACAAATATTTCACAATACTTTCACGCAAATTATGCAGCCTCATGTTTAGGCGCTTCGTCTGGAGATTTAGTTACTTTTTTTGGGTTCTCCATTGGTTTAACACTGTAATCAGGTTCTTCAGTTTTTTCAAGGTCTACAGACGACTTCCCTAAATCTTTTATAGGGTTGTCAATTTTCAGTACATTCAAGTGATGTTCTCTACTTTGCGCAATGATTTCCGAGGGTTTTGGTAGCGATTTCGCCAAAGATATAGCTTCCTTGGCGGCCTTTTCTGCAGTTTCAGCGGCAGAACCAACTGCTTGAGCAGCTTGTAGTGCTTCTTGTGCTGCGTTTTTGGCAATTAGGGCTTTTGCTGCTGTTGCATTATTTTTAGACGATGGACCTTCTATCGCACTCTGTTCTTTTATAGTTTGAATTACTTCTTCTACGGTTTTTAAAGCTTCCATAGCAGACTGAACTGCTCCACTAGCTGATTTCTTAGCTTCTTTTGCTACGCTAACCGCTCTTTGTGATAATTTTTCTGCATTTTCAGGTTCTTTTTTCGATTCAACTGCATCTTTAGTAACAGATTTTTCTTCTTTTGTATTATTTACTTCTTTACTAGGTAATTTGCTTGCCTCGTTAGATTTTTCACCTTCCTTGCTAGGTAGCTTTTCTCCATCCTTAAGTGCGGGCTTTTCACTTTCTTTAGATCTAAGTTTTTCACCCTCTTTGATAACTGATTTTTCTCCACCTTTGGACGCTGTCTTTCCTCCTTTTTTAGTAGCTGGTTTTTCTCCTTCTTTGAGCTCTGGCTTTTCTCCTTCTTTAGGCTTGTCTTCTTCTTTGGGGATTGATTTTTCACTATCTTTGGGCACTGGCTTTTCTCCTTCTTTTGAAGTTGATTTTTCTCCTTCTTTGGAAACTGGCTTTTCTCCTTCTTTGGGGACTGGTTTTTCTCCTTCTTTGAGCTCTGGCTTTTTTCCTTCTTTAGGCACTGGCTTGTCTTCTTCTTTGGGGATTGATTTTTCGCTATCTTTGGGCACTGGCTTTTCTCCTTCTTTAGAAGCTGTCTTTCCTCCTTCTTTGGGAGCTGGCTCTTCTCCTTCTTTGGAAACTGGCTTTTCTCCTTCTTTGGCGACTGGCTTTTTTCCTTCTTTGGGCTCTGACTTTTCTCCTTCTTTGAGCGCTGGCTTTTCTCCTTCTTTGGAAGCTGGCTCTTCTCCTTCTTTGGAAACTGGCTTTTCTCCTTCTTTGGGGACTGGCTTTTTTCCTTCTTTGGGCTCTGACTTTTCTCCTTCTTTGAGCGCTGGCTTTTCTCCTTCATTGGGCACTGGCTTTTCTCCTCCTTTGTCAGTTGATTTTTTTCCTTCTTTAGACGCTGTCTTTCCTCCTTCTTTGGGAGCTGGCTCTTCTCCTTCTTTGGGAGCTGGTATTTCTTCTTTTTTGAGACCTTGCTTAGCTCCTTCTTTGGGGCCTGACTTTTCTTCTTCTTTGGGCGCTGATTTTTCTCCTTCCTTTGGAGCTGGTTTTTCTTCATCTTTGACATTTGGCTTTTCCCTGCCTTAGAGATAGGTTTTGTCCCTTCTTTAGACGGTGACTTGTCTCCTTCTTTGGGAGCTGGATGTTCTCTTTCTTTAAGACCTGACTTTTCCCCTTCTTTGGACACTGGCTTTTCTCCTTCTTTGAGTACTGGCTTTTCTCCTTCTTTGGACGCTGCCTTCCCTCCTTCTTTGGAAACTGGCTTTTCTCCTTCTTTGGGGACTGGCTTTTTTCCTTCTTTGGAAGCTGATTTTTCTCCCTCCTTAACAACTGGTTTTTCGGCATCTTTACGGGCAGGCTTTTCTCCTCCTTCGGAGCCTGACTTATCTCTTTTAGGGGCTGGATGTTCCCCTTTTTTGGGAGCAAGATTTTCTTCTTCTTTGGGAGATGACTTCTGTCCTTCTTTAGGAGTTGTCTTTTTTTCTTCTTTGAACGAAAGTTTGTCTTCTTCCTTGACAGCCAGCTGCTCTCCTTCTTTAGGGGCCGGATTTTCACCTATTTTGGAGGCCGACTGTTCTCCTTCTTTGTGGGCTCGCTTCTCTTCTTCTTTGGGTACAGACTTTTCTCCTTCTTTGAGTACTGGTTTTTCTCCTTCTTTGAGTGCTGAGTTTTCACCTTCTTTGTGCACTGGTTTTTCTCGTTCTATGGAACTTGGCTTTTCTTCTTCTTTGGGTGCTGTCTTTACTCCCTCTTTAGGGTTTGGTATTTCTCCTATGGAGGCAGGCACTTCTCCTTCCTTAAGGGTTAGCTTGTTTTCTTTGGGCGGAGATTTTTCTCCTTCTTTGGGAGCTAGTTTTTCCCCTTCTATGGGCGCTGGCTTTTCTCCTTCATTAAGTGTTAATTTTTCTCCTACGGAGGCAGGCATTTCTCCTTCCTTAAGGGTTGGTTTCTCTTCTTTGGGCGCATGTTTATCTTCTTCTTTGGAGGCTAGTTTATCTCCTTTAGCAAGAAAATTTTTACTTTCTTTTGCAAGAAGGTCTTCTTTGGCAGCGTGATTTTCTGCATGTTTAACAGTAGTTTTTTCACCATCTTTTGAAGCATCCTTTGGTTGGGTGGCAAGTGTTACATTACCTGCTGCTTTGGCATTTGGTGTCTTTCTTTTTCGACTGCAGGCTTTTCTGCCTCTTGAAGATTCTTACTTTTTTCAATTACAGGTTTTTCTTCTTTTTTGACACTGGTCTTTCATTTTCTTTAGGCAGAGTTTTCTCACTTTCCTTTGCATGACTTTTTCAACTTCTTTGACCATAGGCTTTACTCCTTCTTTGATTATGGGTTTTCCTGTTATATTGAGTACAGAGTTTTCCCCTTCTTTGCCTGTCATTTCCTTACTTTTCTTGACAAGTGCTGTTTTTCCATCTTTGGTTTCTGACATATCATTTTCATTTGTTGCAGTCTTTTCCTCATTTTTCGAAGCGGCTTTTCTCCTTCGATGGCACCTATCTTTTCATCAACTGCAGGTTTTCTTACATTTTTAGCTTCGTGTTTTTGCCCTTCTTTACTAACCGACTCTTCGTCAGCTTTGGGCAGCTTTTTCCCTTCTTTGGCAAAGGATTTTTCTTCTTTTTTATCAAATGAATTTTTCTTTACTTGAGCTTCAAGTTCGTCACTTTCCTTTGTAGCTAGGTTTTCTTCTTTTTGTATAGCAGTTTTTTTATCTTCTCTTGATATTTTTTCTTGGTTTTCACTTTCCTTAACGTTGTGTTTTATATCCATATTGATAAAAACTTTTTTGCTTTGTTTGCTAGAGGCTTCAGTATGATTTTTGGGATGCTCTACTTTTTTCTCAAGTGCTGGATTATCGTTAGTTAAGTCATCTTCTTCAGCAACGAGTACCCCAGGTGCAGTAAAACTTGGCCTTTTATCTTTTTTAACTAGTATGTTTTTATTGTTTAGTTTGTTGTTTTCTTTGACTACCTTTTCAGGTTTAATGACCATATGAGTTTCTTCTTTGGTGATTTTTTTCGCAAATTCACCATGAGGTGGTAAAATGTCTTCAAATGATCCCGACTCTGAGTTTTCTGCCAAAGCTTTCTTTTTATGAACAGGTTTGGATTTATATTCCTCACTGTTCTCGTGTTCTAGTGAAGAGTCGTATTTGTTTATGTGACTGAAGGTCTCAACTCTTTTCGGTCCTAAGTTAATATGTTCTCCGGTAGGTCGAAATCCATTTTCGTCTGCAATATACCTATAACAAAAAAGATTTATGTGGTTATACAATTCTATAGAAAAAAATAGATAGTAATAATACTGGGAAAAACTGGTAATGTGACTCTCGCAAGATTTATGGCTTCCTTCTTTATTTTATATAAAATCTATGTAATGAATTTATTCATAATCCATGAAATCAAAATATTAAACATGGATAACGGTCTCCTTGGGCTCTCAGTTTCTCAAAGTGTTTATACAGTTAATGTTTACTTACGATACGCTAACGACGGTACCATCTGGAGCGGTATAAGAGTAGGATCCCTTTTGCACATGGATTTCTCCACTATCCTCATCCTCACCACCTTCGTTGCTGCAATCAGTGTGTCTATGCTCGGCCTTGCCCTCTACCACTTTGTCAAACGACGTCTCTTCACGCTTGATACCATTCCCAGTTTCGTAGCTGTAATTGAAATTCACGGTCTTGTACCAATAAAACTTTTAAGTGGGGTAGATTTCATGTTCTTCTTATATTTTGTACAAATACCCTAAGTAATGTACCACACATATTTTTGTATTAGCTCTTAACTATCTAGCATTTACTATTATTGCCAGAGTCTGTATTTCCTGAAAGGTATAACTTGGGAGTCTTCAAGGCCCGAGTGAATAGGTTGCTTATGGAACGACGTGTTCCATCGTAGACCGCATCATTGCTTACCATCAGGCGAGATAGTGGTCAAAAGTCGCCCCATCAAATATAAAAAAATCTACTTTTGTCACACTACCACCAGCTTACGTCTGAGAGACCCCGGAACAAAATAGAGATTTTATGAAAAATTTTGAATCATAAAGACTGCATTTGCAGTCAAAGGTAGTTTACAAATGTTTTCAGCTGTTTTTTAAGAAATTTTATTATGTAACAATTATAAAGTGTTTTATTTGGTTTGTTATGAAAATAACTTATTTTAAACTCTATTGCACTGTTATTTCTTTTTGTGTCACAACATGATTGAAGTACCGTATAAGTATGAAGTACATCATAACAATCATAATAACGCCTTTTATCCCCAAAGGGGTTGGCAGAGGTGCACATTACGGCACTTGATGCAACAACCACTTTTCATTTTATTATAAGTCCCATGTAATAGGGGGTGAGCCTTTAGCCATATACCGGGCATAATTTCAGACTCCATGCTACTACGGAGATTTGTTTAAAAATCCAGTAATTATATGTATACATGCATCTACTAAACAAAATAAATGAAAAATTACCTAAATTTATATTTTCCGTCGGCGTCAATTTCCTCAGATTGTGTAAGAATGGGTATCACTGTCGGTTGTTTTCTTTCCGGGGGGACCTCATCCGTGAGTGGCGCAGAAAGCACGCACACCGTTAGCAAGCACAAACAAAGTAATTTTAATAACATCTCTATTGGAACCACTCCCGACTGACATTTCATAATGATACTCCAGAATTGATGTTCACTTATATGTAAGACACATTTATTTACTCTATCCTCCCCCCGCCTTCCTTAGGAGCAAGCCTCACCGGACGCTAACCACTTCAACCTTAACGCCGGACTGATGTGTTCTTCGGAAAATTGCACAATAGCCTAGGTGTCAACAATCGAACATGATCGATGACGATTGGTCGCGAGTAAACCATTGACTCCTAAACAACTCGCTGAAATATTCCGTGTTTATAATAAACATTATGAAAAATAAATAAATGAAATTTTTTAATCATACCTACACATTTTTTTAAAAACATGCAGGAGGTCCAAAAAATAATTTCATATTTATTCTTCATTAGTTCTGTTTTTATAAATCCCATGACATAGAGGCCAAGTACCATTCCCTGAAAATCTACATTAGATGTGCATTTTGAACATATTTGACGAAATTAAATTTATCAAAGAATTTAATAACATTTTCGAATTGAAACTGTGGCTTGCTTGGCAGTTACGTTTACGTTTTTTATGGAATAGGAGGTAAACGAGCAGACGGATCTCCTGATGGTTAGTGATCAACGCCGCCCATGGATACCCGAAACACCAGAGGAGTCACAGATCAATACATATTTACGTTCGCTAAGACTTAAGTTCTTTAAGTACTGTATATTGGGTCATCATACATTATCGTAGTATAGGAAGACATACACTAATTAAAAGTATAGCCTCATCATCATCATCAACAGCCCATAAGAGGCCACTACTGACCAAATGCCTCTTTTAACAAGAAAAAGGAAGGATTTCAATCTTATAATAAATTAGAAATTTTAAGTCCAGGTTTCCGCATAACGTCTTTCTTCACAGTTTGTAAAAGTAAATAATCGTAGCTCAGAAAACGTCGAACAACATTGGAACTTGCTTGTTAGTAGGTTTCAAACCCACAGTTTTACACATAAGAAGCGGGCGTTTTAAATCTCCGGGCCACCGCGACTTTAAAGTAAATCCTACTAATTGCCAATTGTATTATAGTTATCATATTTTATATGCTGCATATAGGTACTACAGATAATTTCCGAATACTAGAAACTGAATAACACAACCCGATCTGAAAATCGCACTTGAAATACGTTGGTGACTGCCTCATTGGTTGAGTGGTCGCAAGTGTGACTGCCGGGAAAGGCGTCTCGGGTTAGATTCCCGGATCGGGAAAAGTTTAACTGGGTTAAAAAAAAATCTCAGTAATAGAAAAGAGTCTGGAATTGTGCCCAGATTATGGTTTAGGCTTATTAGGCTTACCCTTTATTACATGGGACTCATAACATAAATAGGGAAAAGTGGGTGCTACTCTGTTAAGTAGCATAAGTGCTGTAATGTGCACCTCTGCCTACTCCTTCGGGGATAAAAACGTGATGTCATGTTGTAAATACATTGGTCAGCAGTTGCACTTGCGACCACCTATCTGACAAAGCAGCTTTTTTGTTCTTATCTATTAATATTAATTTATACAATTATATTATTAGATAGGCTTTTGCGCAGTAAGAATTAATTTTATAATAATTATTAATGGCCCATTAAAATGTTTAAGGAACTGGAATGTTCACGGAAGCACACACAAATGGCTTTTTGACTGTTTAAAGAAAAAGATGCGCCTCGCTATAGAGTCGTGTACGATTCAGTCCCAACAGTACCCTGAACGTACTGACATACAGATGGGCCTCAAAATGAACTCAGCATTGGATGAGCCTTCATACTGTTGTTAGCTAAACTGTTTATTTGTATGTATTTCTTTTTGCACACAAAATAGGGATATAAGATCCCTATTTTGTATGCAAAAAAAATATATGGGTTAATAATTTTGCCCGGAATAAAGATATAATATATTGAAAATATGAATAAGGATCATGCTGTATAATATTTACATAATATGAATAACAGCTAATGTAAATATCCACATTCATATTTGTTTACATAAATAGAGTTGATTGTCGTGCGTATAATTATAAATACAAGAAAAATCTATAATTCTTGTCAAACCAGTGGATAGATTACGAGTAAAGCCCATTATGAGTTAAACTATTGAATCGCCTTCATTTGCTGGCTTAATCGCGCGGCAGAAGGATCGTAAAGTATCGATAAGTACTTCTTAACGGAATAATTAATTAATTGAAAATGTTAATTTACAAATCAATATTACCAATGGCGTTATTATTAGGGTTCAGTGTGACTAGTGCAGATTTAATTATACAGAGACGTGTTCCTCGGAGGCATACCCAATTTACAAGATGCATAATGCTAATCATCCACCACTTGCGGACTTCTTAGAGAAAACTCCAGTTGCTATAATGGCAGACGAAGATGCAATACTCCATATGAAGAAAATGGCCGTAAATGAAGTAAGTGACGCAACCGATACAAGAAGCACAGAGAATCACCGTGCTGGAAATCTAATGCTTTTAGGTGGAATACAAGATTATGAAGAAAGAATAATTCAAAAACCGAAAGCCCGATCAGTAAATATAAAACGTTCTGAATTAGATGAAACAAAGACACCGGCGCTTGCAGACTACGACAATAAACCAAGAAGGAAAATACGAAGGAGGCTGCAACAAGTAAGGAAAGTCAAAGTAAATAAAAGCCAACTTGATGTTTTTGTTAACGAAACAGAAGCCGAAGCAGCTAAAGTAACAACAACAGAAACAACAGCAAAATCTGAGGAAGTTTACAAGGAGGAGCAACAGTCATACGCTACTCAAACTTTCAAACGAAGGAAGGGAATGCGAGCACCTGTGGTTCCTATAATTGATTCGCAAAACTATGTTTTTTCGCATTCTGGAAACTTCCACTACAGGTATTACTACTTACTACTTTTCTTTATTATTTACTAGCGACCCGCCCCGGCTTCGCACCTGTGCAATATGCATGTATTATACATATAAACATTCCTTAAGAATCACTCTATCTATTAATCACATCACACATCTATGCACACATAGGGACACACAGACAACGGATATCGACTTTGTTTTATACTATGTAGTGATAATTATAAAATATTTTTATTCAACTCTGATTTCATTAATATAATAATTCTGAATAGAGTAAACATATATTTTTTTAGTTTTTATCTTCTGTGATCAATAATAAAACAGCTAAAATGTGTCCTTGAGTACAACGTGATCTTTGCTTAGACAAATAGACCGTAATGACGTTATATAATCTTATTAACTTGTTATAAATGCATACTTATATTTAAACTAATGTTATTCCACAGCTATGAAGGCGGAGACGGCACAAAAGCTTACGAGAGGGGTCAATTAAAACAGTCAAATGGAGGTGCCGGCAGCGCAGTTGAGGGAAACTTCTCCTACAAAGTAATACAATGTTTTATTAGCTCATTCGTGCTAATCTTAACCTTAACATAAAATAGTATAATCATAGACTAAATGCATGCTTTAATAATCCATTACTATGTGATGAGATTTTGGTTTCTGTGAGTAATTGAGTGTTCATCATTATTTAAGGAAATACATTATATTATACACATGCATATTATCATTTAACGTACCCCTTTTTTACAACCCTACATCCTAACTTACTATGTATAAAAGAAAGTTGCTCAACCCTACACTTTTGATCATTTTCATACAATTATTATTATCTAACTGCATGATTCGCACACTGGCTATGTGACCAAAAAAAGGCGAGCTGCGGCTTTGACTCCGGCACGAAAAATTCTTTGCTAAGACTGCACGCGATGCGTTATGAAACGAACCTACAGCACAAAAGAAAATTCTAGTATGGTAACTAGCTAGTGTGTAGTGGAGGGCACAATCTCACAAAATAATTAAGTCACAACATATCATTTTATATAATACATCCAAAAAGGTAGAGTTGTGGAGACCTTGAATACACTTTCCTATAGTATATTTATAAATTATATTGCTTTCAATGCACATAATGGTGACAAAGCTTATTTATTCGAGTTCAACAGCTATTTCGCTTAAATATTACAATAGCATTTATTAACGATTATAACTTTACTGCTTTTACTTATTTTAAAATCTTACCGAAGGATTACTCTAGGACAGGATTTCTGTACTTTTCTACACCAAGTTCTATGGACTATTTGCTGGGCATAGTCTTCTTATCTCAGACATTATCGACCGTAATACTAACCGAACTATATTAGGCCATATTTGTGTAACTTTCAGGATAAAGACGGCAATGACTACAGTTTGCAATACACAGCGGACGAAAATGGATACAGGCCAGTCGGGGCACATTTACCCACACCTCCACCTATTCCTCCAGAGATTAAACGTGCTTTGGAATACCTCGCCACCAAGACCACTGAGTCAGTAGAAGTGACGGAGAGAATGTGGACCCATAACTAAGAAAACATTAAAAGGTGATTCATGATAATTATTCTTTCAAAACATACTACTCAAATGTTCCATTCACTCATACTGAAATCTATGCAGCAAAAATCATCTATGGTGACATTCCTAAACTTATAGAAATTTCTTATGTATGCTCTTATGATGAGAATTTTATCCTGAATTTTAAAATACGCTTGGACAAATATTAATGCTGGTCGCTGGTACTTTTTTTGTAATAAAAGGACTATGATAAATACGTAAAAATGGGTCGCAGATATAATTGTTAATAATAATTGAATAAGGGTGGATAAAAACGACTGCCTCATTGGCCGAGTGGTCACAAGTGCGACTGCCGCGGGCAAGGGATCTCGGGTCCGATTCCCGGGTCGGGCAAAGTACCTATTACTGGGTTTTTCAAAAAATTCACAGAAGTAGCACAGAGTCTGGAATTGTGCTCGGTATATGGCAATAGGCTTACCCCCTATTACATAGGACTCATATAAATAGTTAAAAGTGGGTGTTACATTGTACAGTGGCGTAATGTACCTACACCTCTGCCTACCCCTTCAGGGATAAAAGGCGTGATGTTATGATAAGTTGTGGTGTAAAAGTGTCATAACCTGGATATATGTTGTTAATTGCGCATAGTCCAAAAAATAAACTAGATTTTTCGAATGTAGTATTTAACCCGGCGTAATATAAATATGTGTTGAAAGAAATCATGTCATACTATTGTTTTAGTTTTAGTGTGACTCTTGCCGTTACGTGTTGGCTATTGTTTACGTTATATTTTTGTTTTTGTTTACAATTTTTTGTTCTTCTATATTAAAGAAAGAAAGGTTATTCTTTCCTCAATTTGGAAAATTATATTGATGTTTCATTGTTTTTTGACATTCATAATAAACAATTTAAGCACAAACAGACAATAGGTTTTGTTTCGTTTGATCTTGTTTAGGTATTTGTATAGGTGATAGTATATTGCGGTGGTTCAATTTCGTAATAGACTCACCCCATATTACATGGGAGTCATAACATAAATAGTGAAAATTGGGTGTTAAATTGTACAGTGACATAATGTGCACCTCTGCCTACCCCTTGGGGTATAAAAGGCGTGATGTTATGTTCAATTTCGTATTTATTTAAAAAATAATCATTGTTTAATGCTCTCAATGAGTTTAGTACAGTACAAGACAACCTTTTTATTGAAATCCAAAGTAACTTGTTCACATTTGCAACTAATTATTGCAGTTGTTACAATTTCCGTAAACAGTATCAAATTTACTTACGTATCTATAATTTAAAAATCAGGTAAGTATAAGAAATAAAACAATATATATACATATATAAGTCTGATAATTACCTACTATATAAATGCAAGTGATTAACAAACATTTATAATCAAAGAATTTATAGATTTTATTGTCATTAGGTTTACTGATGCATTGGAAAAGATCTTCAATGCTAAAGGACCCCAAAAAGAGAGAAAATGTTTGAATTGCTACTGTGGCTAACAATAAAAAAAATCTAGTTTATTGTCACCCACATTGACATTTTCACATTTTCACCGATACAACATTCAAACATTCAAGAAAAGAGCGTATTTCTTTAGGCCGGCAATGCAACTGTGACTCCTCTGGTATTGCAAGTATCCATGGGCGGCGCTGATCGCTTACCATCGGGTGATCTGTCTGATCGTTTGGCTCCTATTCCATAAAAAAATTGTCACTGATCATACCTGCAGATGTTGTAACATCCGACTAAGGGAGAACACACTTCACAGAAAATGGGTAACAGTCTTGAACCTTTTAAGCTACGGTCCTCCAACCTGCTTACCAAACCCTCTTATGAAGTGGAGGCCTGTAGTTCAATAGTGGATAGTCACAAGTTTATGATGATTATTAATCATAACGTTCATCATAGTGTTAGTGATTGGTTGATAAAACAATTGATAAAAATCGAAAGAGTTTTAATTTTCCATAGCCTTCAAGATTTAGTATATTCAGTACACCATCATAAAGGAATAAATTGATGTTCTCTATTCTTATCATTGACCTTGGTATGTTCTTGTTTCAAAACAGGTTGTTAGAGGAATGCTGTTCAAGTACTATGTTATGGTGAGATCACTTTTGCTTTCTATGGTGAATATTTTCACTGACGTTTACTTGTATATGATGAGGTCATTTACCTATATATCAATTGTGCTTATATTACGTGTGAGCTACTATTATTACTTGTACCTACTACACTGCTTTAACTATTTATTTTTACGAGATTAAAGGTTACGTGTCTTCTTGTAACCTTTTAATATATGCAATCTAAGAAGTACTTCAATATCTAAACTTTTTATAGCAATCAATATTCACTGTATGCACTTTTTATGAAGGTCAATATTTTTTCTAGATTTTTAATACTGGATACTTTACTTTTTCAACAGTTATAAAACTTTGTACCCACGCTGGTGACTATATTTCTAAAATTAAAAGCTATATAATCTATCTAGAATAATAATAAGTTCGTTATAACGAATTTTAGGTAAGAACTGGATTTTCATCACTATCATAATCAGCCTATAAGTGAATACTCTTTTTAGATGTTAGCCTATCAAAACAACAATATAATAGATACCTATTACACAGTTTCGCAGCATTACTACTATCAAAAACATCCGGCAGACTAAATCCTGATTATTTTGTAGTCATTGACATCAGTTTGAGTATGACATCAACAGTTTATCACGTATATGACAGTTCTATCTATAGGATCCATGCTAATGAAAAATCACCGTATGTAATATGGCCTATTGTCTTTAGTATGTAAGTACATAAGACCTTGATAAGCCTCCATTTGGTTAACTAGTAGAAGGATGTGGTTGGTGTGTATCAAATTCCTTCTTAATTACATAAAAAATCGGTATGTATTATAACGTCACCAAATAATAGTCTGTTTTGTCAGAAAATAAAACCATGGGTTACACCACTAAACGGTACTGCATGGTACTGTGTAATGGTATATTGGGTTGCGTTTGTAGCAGTCTTTTAAATAATTCCGTTATGATCATAGGATGATAAATAAGCATCACTACATAGTATAAAACAAAGTTGCTATCTGCCGTCTGTCAGTCCCTATGTATGCTAAGATCTTTAAAACTACGCAACGGATTTTGATGCGTTTTTTTTAATAGATAGAGTGATTCTTAATGAAGATTTATACGTATAATACATGCATTTTGCACCAGTGCGAAGCCGGGGCGGGTCGCTAGTTAAGTTAAGATAAGTATAACAACTAATAATGACTTTCTTTAACAAAGTTTATCGATACAGAAATGTTTTGAAACTATCCCTGGGAGTTGGAGTTTAAGGGTCGTTATTACCTATTGGTATTGAAAAACAAGAATTACATTTTGCAATGCATCTTTGGCACTGATTTTGCTTTTATTTAAATAAATATACAAACATTTTACTCAAAACTCAATCATTTTCTATCACAGTTCAGTCATTGTACATTCTTTTTTATATGTTTTTTATTGCTTACTATATTATATTGTTTTAATGTTAGTACAGTTTCGTAAACAGAATTTAAATATGCTTTGTAAATTTTAGATTTATTTATTGTAAAAAATAACATTTGCTTATCTAAAAAAGACTGGTAATGCATAGAACGCATAACATCTTTTTTACTATAAAACATGTAAAAATGTTGCATAAATTCTACATTTTTTTTTCAAAAGCTTTAAATTCTATTTGCAAGACTATACGAGTGTTCGTGGGGTTACAGGTACGTAGGATGGTCAGGTCGTTTAGGCATTAGCCCGTGGTCTGGGTATAGATCTAAGCCCTGGATGGTGGTGGTGGGGGGAGTGTGGCAAGATAGTCGAGCGCCTTCTGGATTGCAGGCGGTATTGGCGGCGGAGTCGGCAAATGAGCACCCTGGAAGGAAAACATAAAAAAAATATTAGACGCGACCAATATAAAAAAAAATTGATCATTAACTATACTGTCTTAGCTACTAATAGGTATCTCTATTTTTATTACACATTACACTATTTAAATGTAGACTACTCGTAAGTAAACTAACAATATCTCATAAGTTTGGCCAATCTAGCTCTAGTACCTACCAAAGACGTATACTAACTAGATATTTCAGATTTTATTAATATTTTCTACGGTATTCGACGTGGCAGTGTACCTTTGCTAAACACTTCAAGGAAAAACAGGTTTAGTGTTAGCTCAAAACAGCTAAAACAAATAGGCATTTAAATCACTTGAATTCTGTCACCGACTATAATTATGATAATCGTATGAGCTCATCTTTAACACAAGGTATCATAATATAAAACCGTGACAAATAAATAGATTCCAAAATTAATAAAACAATTCCGTAAATATTACGTCATCATGCGTGTTTATAGTCTATTTTTACTAGGATGACCGAACGATACAACAAAAAAAACTGTTCTAAAGGTTAAGCTGCATTCCTTGGCATACAGATACAATTTAAATACCTACAGTAATATCCTTGATTTGTGTAGGATTTTTACCTTTTTTATTAGCTATGCAACAAAAAATCGGCGAGACCAAATAAATCAAGAAATGGTGCATCATTTCAATTACCTATTCACAAACTGTGGACGAATATTTAGTGCTCAATCTATTGTATGAGCAATGCCAAATAATCAAATTTGATAGTAAAAGAACTACTCAACATATCTGCCACAACTAAAACTTATAAGAGACATGTAGTGTGTCGCATAGACATACTTTTCTCTTCCCCTATAAATATGCCATATGGTACGCGAAATATGTAAGTAAGTGTAACTAATATATGTAGGTGTTTTCTTTAATGTGACTGAAAAAATAGTGTCACCTCCGGTTTGAAGCCATTGTCATCATCAGCAATGTAGTTCAGATTGATAACGGTGCCATCAGGAGCGGTGTAGCTGAAACCTCCCTGTGCTACGATGACGTCACCAGCGTCGGGACCGCTGGCCTTCTTCAGTGTACCAGCCTCTTCTGCTTTGATGCCATTTTCAGTCTCGTAGCTGGAGAAAATTTAACAAAATATTTATTAAGAAAATTAAATTAACAAACTAATTTATAGTTAAAAAGTACCTAGGGGAAATTTTCAGCGTAAAAATCCAAGACTTATTAACTGTCAGGTGAAACTCATTGCGGATTATTAGAAGCATCAGGTGTTAACTGAGATATTAGTTAACCTTAATATCTATCTGACTCTTGAATATTGCTAACACTCCTGATAGTGTCCAATGAGTTTCACCAGATAGTTAATAATAGTCTCGGATTTTTACTCTGAAAATTTCTCAAAGGTGTCAAATACAAGTACACAACCAAGAGTCAGTACATATTTAGGTATTCATTGCACATGATGTAAACTAATTTTCCAGTGCACGCCTGATTTTTTTACTCAATTGATCCGTATAAAGTCGTGATGAGCAGATATTTTGTGATTAGAGCTTATTACTACTGTTTACTTCTTTATTTGGAGCAGGTGTGATTTAGGAGAATCCTAAATAAAAGTGACGTATAACGCTGAAAATAAAAACCCAAAATACTGTTTTACATAGATCTACATACCTACTACTAAAAATGTACTATTTGAAGGAAATACGATTATTGAACAATGAAATACGTCTGAACATATTTCATTCTGTTCTATACTTTATTACGTATAGGTATCCTTACTAATATTATAAATCGGAAAGTGAGTTTGTTTGTTCCACTTTCACGACATAACTACTAAACTGATTGCTATGAATTTTTGCAGATGTATAGTCAGAAGTCCGGATTAAATAATAAAGTACATTTTATCCCGGAAAAATTTGATATTCCCGAGGGAAAACAAAAGTATTGGTATAGATGGCGCTGTGTGTATGTATATGTCACATTGGCTTTTTATCCTTTTGTGACGCGAGCGAAGCCGCGGGTAAAAGCTAGTTTGTTTTAAATTATCTAGAATTCACTAACAACGTACCTACAATTACAATAAACAAGGAGGTCGCGATGCGCCTTTCCTCGTGCATTGTAAAACGGAATGATATCAATTTTTATTGTGTGATCAAGGTCGTAAGGCTAGATAGATACCTATCACATTCATAACATACTTCAAGAAATACTTACACGACGATATTTATAGAAAACAATTCGGCCAAGGATGTAAGTGATCCTACGAAAGCGTGACATTCAAATAAATGGGATATTATTTTTGTTACTTACTATAGTATTATAACCTAACATCAATTTAACCCGTGGAATGCCCGAACGTAGATCTACGCGAGACATAATGTATTTTCTGTTATGTCCCATATACCGGCACTCGATAGGTTAATTCAATCGTATTTTCTAGAGTAGCAAGAGCAGAAGACTCTTAATATATTAAATCCAGTTACCTTATTAGTTGTTGATGGGTACTTTAGTACATTATTACATAGGCCGATTAGTGCCAAAAACTAAAATATTACTCTCTGAAATCGAAAATCCTGACACGATTTTACCTAACTTACAAATAAAATGATAATAAAGTGTTTGAAGAACCAATTTGTTGTTTGTTTTTTTCATGGTGAACCTTGATATGTTGTCGCCTTTTGTTCTTGAACTTTATTAGATGCCTGCTGACCCAGAGACAGTACAGGCAGGGGGTCAAATCAATGATGGTGCAGTTGCTAATGTAATTTAATACATCACTTGTAGTCACGTTATCTAATGCTGACATATTATTATTACTAGTGAACAGCACATTGTTAGCTATCAGTAAAATTATGAATTTCAAAGCTCACAAAGCTAATCAATAAATTTTTATTGTTATTCACTTATGTTATGTCTGAGAAAAAATATGTACCTAAAGGAAAATAAGGAAAAACTATTGAAAGATTAGCAGTATCAAAATCTATGAGAGCATTTTTTTGTATATCGACATATCAATAAGCATCTAATTGATTAGAATGATCTTGTAAACGATTCAAATTTTCCTATAAATAAAACAATTTTCCTTTAAGAATCTGGTTTTGATGATATTTCAAATAGGTACAGGCAAACTCTGTTGAGTAGCCTTGACATCATTAGAATATTCACAACACGTTTTTACATAGTTAAAAAAGTCTATCAGGTTTTGAATAACTCGTATGGAGCCTATCATTCATGGTACAATGGATAGGCTGCAGTATCCATGTTATTTATTACAGATTCCATCCTGGTGTGTGGAAAATTTTGAACCTTAAATGCCTTAACCTTATTATTATCTGACCCAACCCATTAATCGGACTGAAAATATCTTGATATTGGATTCGCGGCAACTCAACCAGGCTCCATGGTAAAATGTAAGAACTCAAAAAAGTTGGTTAAGATCATAGTACTACTTCTATTCAAAATCTTCGCTGCAGGTCTTCACTATACACACATTTTATTTGTACATTGCTGTTCTCTAACAAACTGCTACGTAGTTGGACATACACGAAGTTCGCGTCACAGATTAACACGCAAATACGATAATATTGAAGCCCGAATTTTCAAACAACACTCGACTTAAATTACCTTTATAAAAGTTCTTCTGTCTCAAAAATTTTCTTGGAAGTAATAGAGACAGCGTGATATTTAATGCTGACTTAAAATTGAGTGGTGTTTGAGTGTACGGTGGTAAGCTTGTCATTGTCGTCAGTGCCAAATATTTGCTTCGTAATACTAATGGTAAATATTTAGTTGTTAGTTTATTATATTTGTATTATTAGAGTTATTGTCACCATGATTTAAGTCAACGTGTAGCTACTGTATCAATTTGAAGCTGTACCAATTTCAAGTATAGCCTTTAAACCCAACTTAGAATTACATTACAGAAAAAAGAAAATAAGGAAAATTCATGGTATTCAAGTCGTGTAAACCGATTTCGGAATTAATTATTTAGTATATGATTCTGTGTAAGTAGGTTTTACGTACAGAATTACATAAGTTTCTTATAATGAGCGATAAAATTGGATTTTTTGCGATGATTATATTTTTATGAAAATTAATGACTTTAACGTAAAATACTTAGTGGTTAGAAATATATGTACATTCAAATACTTTATTAAAAATATTATTTACCTGTAACGATAAGATCCATCTGGTTGTTGGTCGAACTCTTGTGAGACGATTGCTATGACTTTGTCTGCAGGCCCCTGCGGTGCCGATAACGCTACTGCCACGACTCCTAACAGAATTAAAACCCTCTGGAAATAATAAAAAAAAAACAAAGTAAAAATGAGACATTCGAAAATATTAAATAAATTCAAGCCCTGGGTTACCCTACAACCACTTTACTTTACAACCAACCTACAATACTTTATGATAGCGATATATGCCTTTTGTAAAACAGACCATAGATATTTAAATCACAGTTGTCAAATAATCCAGTCATTCATATATTATTATTTATTCCATCAAATCAGAAAACAAAGAAGAGGCTGCAGTGCTATCTTCATACAATTGAAATAATTACTTCAAGTTAAAGTAAAATGTTAAGTAAGTATAAAACGCCTGTTATATTTAAGAAGCAATTCTTACTTATGAATAAAGCTACTACAAACCGATAAGGAATAAGCAAAACGACTATTAAATTCGCATATAAATATGAAACTCCTTTTAGTTATCAATGTAGTACTTAGACAATAAGGTCATAGAAGACACATGTCGACCTACAATTACAAGGACGCTGCCACTTAAGTCCTATAGTTTATAGTTTAAAATCTATGCTCATGTCGTTGAAAGATTTATAGCCCATTTGGTAGCAATATCAATTTCAACATTATTCACAATCAACGAAACAACCAATTAATTTCTATAGAATAAATTTTAATTAAATGAATGGATGAATGATTGTAGATGAGTTTTAATGTCTACTGAGATTTATCATCCTAATTTTTATACATGTAAATAATGTCTAGTCACCAAAAACGGTGCAAGGTTAAGAACTCGCCCACGTAATACAAGCAAATTGTTTTGGTTAATTCTGTTTTAATTATACCAAAAAGTTAAATTATAATGTGTTTGTAATAGAATAATAACCTTGTGTTTAACACCATATCAGAAATGTTAAATTGGGTAATCCGTAGCAAATGACAACAGTATAGGACGTTTTTACACACAAACATTATGTCGTTTGTCACCTGTGACCCGCTCACGTCAAATTTTAGGTCAGGCACGCATCATAGATAAACAAACTTGTTACATTCAGCCTCTAATTGTATCCACAACACAAGACAAACACAATTAGCTGGGCAGCCTAGTGCCCGTTTGTGGCACGCGGCCTTCACGCGACAATCACGCGAGTGACACACGCAGGCTTAGGCATTTTGTCTTATTTAGACAAAGCATCTTTAGATAATGTTATTTCAATAATAAACAAAAATTACAATTTTTATCATTTTTCATAGAAAGTCAATATTGAATACGTTTAAGTATATACCCGACCTTAAAACTGCGAGCTACAGGAAGACAGGTAACAACAACCTCTAATGTCGATATTTTGAGAGAAGGCATCGACCAATCCACGATTCCCAAGCGTGGCAATTCTGGCAAACACACGTTCTTAAAGAGAAGGCTTTTGCCCAGCAATTGACATTTTCCAGCATTCTAATATCATAATAGGATCAGGCAGCTAACACTCTTTGCAGAAGGAAATAAAAACAAAATTCAATCATGTTAATTTTTTGTCTGTACCAAGCCATATATCACTTTTATTGTCAAATATTTTCATCGGGGACACAGTTCAGTAAATGATTTATGTCATAAAATTTTAATAATATGTGAACACAGAAACTGTACAAGATTCATCAAAAAATATTAATTGGATATGTTAATGTACTCGTTTCCAGTTTTAGACACGGAGATGATTAATTTTGTAAGTGATGTCGGTGTTTTAATTACCTCTACATAATTAAGCTGGTTTTAAAAGTGTAAATGTTCATTAATATTTTAAACACTGATACGATCAAAGTGTAACAAATGCGAATCTCTTTGATACTTTTGTGGGAATTAGTCATCCTCTTCCTTGATGTCTTATTTGGTAAAAATTCGTTAGTGGATTGACTGGTAAATTCTAGACTATATTTTGGTTTGTAAAAATACAACATTTTCTCTTATGAAGTAGGAGTTTGAAAGTTTTATTATTTGTCCGTTTAAATAATATTTACAACATAGACAAATAAAAAAATGCTAATTTCAGGATCCTGTGTAAACAAAATTATTCTCATACTCAACAAGTTTAGTTAAGAAGTTAAACTTATCTATGTATAATCACTGTAAAATATATTATTTACAAGGAACCTTCTCATGTCAAAGGTACAGATGCATATGTGAAGATTATTGCTTACACAACTATGTAATACCAGTCTTACAAATACTTTGAACTATGGTCAAATCGGTGTCAATGTATGTGCATCGATTATTGTGAATGATATTTAACATTATATTTATAGAAGAATCGTGTCTATATCACTGAAATCTAAAGATGAAGGAAATTATCGTACAATGCGGTCATAATTAATCTGGATTGCTATCGCCCAAATACTAAAAGACCCTTACCCTTAACCGACGAGCATGCATGAAAAGATTGATGGCTGTTGATGAAGCGAAAGAGGTATGTAGGAATCATTACGATTGGCGTTCCATAGTCTCTGCCTACCCCCATTGGAGATAGGCGTGAAGTTATGTATGTATGTACTAAAAGGCTACTCAAGTTTAAGTTATACTTAAATATCGTGCCATCTCTGTCATTTTATAAAGAATTTGTAGTAACAGAACTATACTTCAGCGCGACTTTTGAGTGGCATTTGAGTATTTGGACGTAAATCAGCTATCACTTATATAGATGTTTTTCTAACTTAACTAATATGAAATTGATTTTATCATAATATTGCACATACTAAGAAATACATATATATGTAATTTATAAATGAAAGATTCAATGTAAATTGAAAAACAAAACATATCATAAATATAAAATTAATGTTCTAAATTAATTTTGTAGCGATAAAATGAAAACCCTGAAAGACCCAACGAACTGATACTATTGTATATGATATATCTATCACACAAGAAACATGTTTACCTAATGGTTAGAAGGACATAGTTATTTTCCAGCTGACATTTTCCTCTCATTTGCCTTCTGCATCTTCACTTTATTTATTAGCAATATAAATAGGTTGTACAAGACTTTTGACCCTCTGTAGGTAAACACAATTTATGTTTATATGCACCATTTAGCAACTCGTTTCAATTAACCTTTATGTCGACAGGATAATTAGCCACTAATATAACTTCAGCTGTAATTATTATTGTACTCTTTGAAAAGAGTAAAATCGTTGAATGTTTAGTAAATATATAGCTAACTATATTTGATCCACAATAGTCTAACTTTTTTTTATAATTCAACAAAGGACTGTCGGTGAAGACTGACATTTTCTTTGAATATTTCAATATTATGTTTTGACGTTCAAAAGTGCCTTCTTGGTCTAATTGAAATAAATAATTTTGACTTTGACTTTGACTATGTACCTATATTATTTTATTTCTGTGATGGAAAAGTGGTCCTTTTTCGGAGTGAAAAAAGGCCAAATATTGGATACATTTTTCGACTAACTAACTATGATGATGAACATGACGATGGACAATCAATGTAGTTGAAATATTTTTTTGTTTTAATTTATAAGTTCATTTAACTTTAGAGGTTTATTAAACTTCTTTGTTTAACTTTATTAACGGATTTCTCTTAATTATATCCTCTTAATAGTCTCATTCGCTTGTTTTCTATATAGGTACTAATCTCAGGCGTAATTGAATAATAATTAATTTCTATATATTCATTTTAAATGGTTAGAATAGAAAATACTGACAGAGTCAGGTCAGTATGATGGGTAGGTACATGATACTGACCTATGACATGATCTAGTATTAGGTGTCGATTACCGATGGGAGCTCGAGTTACGAAGGTTGATACGCTTCACGGACCATTAGCTAAGTCTGATTAGTAATCGATATTGACTCCACATCGATTAGTAAAATATGTTAGTCATTGTTTACATAATGCTTTTTTTTCTTTGTTCTAGTTAAAAGAACTTCTTCAGTAACAGAACAGTTCATATATTTCAAGCTTTTTTTTACTATAGTTTGCAAAGACTATAGAATGCCGTGGCTCTGGCATAGGGTAGGAATTGGAACGGTCGAATTTAGTGGTTTTAGTATTTTTTATTGAATAGGAGGCAAACGATCACCTGAAGGTAAGCGATCAGCGTCGCCCGCGGACACCCGCAACACACCTTAGAAATAAAAGATTACGAAATGCCAATGTATCCTGACATAAGCCCTTCGTTTATTCAACATTAATTATTATTGTTATCATAATAAGGTATCTACTTATAGATGTTATATCTTGATGCAAATTAATGTGAAGAGGAATAGACATTGCTTCACGAATAAGGTAAGCTATGCAGGTAAGTATTTAAACACTTGTCAAAGTTTAGACGACCTACGATATAAGCGTATTTGGGACATTAAATTATTTATGTTAATGAGTAATGACGAATGTGTCGGATAATGCAGGTGGTAAATTTATGAACTACACAGACTTACCTACTAACTTTACATTTGAAGTTTTTAAAAACGTCGTCCGTGTTACGTAAAGGAAAGTATATGAAAAATTAATGATAATGGTAGTTTCTTAAAATGTTCTATTTATTACTATGCTTCTAAAACATTATTGTTCTTAAAGATATTCTCGAAATAATTTAAACAAATCAAAACTATGTTTTTATAACAACTATCGTGAGACATAACTAAATTAACTAAAATCGCGGGTTACTCACGTGAATATACTGAGCTGCGCAACGTTACCGCGACTGCGCACGCTGCTCATGAGGAAGAACACCTCTGTGGGTCGAAACTAGTAGAGCTTTTCTCAGTATATTCACGTGAGTAACCTGCGATTTTAGTAAATCAAAACTATCTTATAATTAGGTTATTCTCTTTTCGCTCTGCACTAAACTTCAGGTCACTCATACATGACCTAGTGTTTGTATTGTCATACATAACACACACAGAAATACCACAAACTAACCACTTAGATACGGGTACGTTACCGTGGGTACAACAATAGATTTTCAAGTCACCGTGTGTCACCCACAAACTATTTATAGAGCCTAAATAGTTGCGGATGGTGTGGTATGCAGATGTCGGCACACCAGCTATTTTGCAAGTGTATTGAGTTGTGGGAACATGTCATAGAATTCGAGAGTTACCGCGAAAACAATGTACTATGTGTAAAAACAAAAGGTGCGCACCTAATTAACTGCTCGCACGCCTCCGTGCTAATCCAGGTACGGACTCAATTACATTTTTTTTTTGGTTTACATAAAATAAATCTTTAAATTTAAATTTTGGTAAAAATACAAGAAAATAATTGATGATTGTAAGCATAACATCTCACACTTTTTATCCCCGAAGGGATAGGCAGAGGAGCACATTGGGGCACTTAATGGCCACTTTTTACTATTTATGTTATGAACCCCATGGAATAGGGGGTGAGTCTATTGCAGACTTCGTGCTACTACTGAGAATTTATAATTGTGATTTTATAAACACGTAAAACTAAGTAATTTATACTATACGTGTCTATAGTGTCTATAGTATAAAGTAAAATCACTCTTAATTAATTAAATTGCAATTTCATGAAGTAAAGTATAATAATTAATTACTTTTACTATATCAATTAGGTAATTTCCCATTTTGTGACATTTAATATTCAGGAAAACCTCAAACCGTGCTAAATATATGCAAATTTTAAATAATTAATTCATAGTATTATTTTAAAATAAAGATGTCAATATAGCTATGTGACCTGACCGAATGACCCTGTCAAGGCATATCCTATTCTCTATCTTATTATACAAAATATCCTTTAATATACATATGTACTATTATTAGTCATATATCATGCTTACATATCGGTTGTTTAAAATAATACACGTGACTTATTGATTTAATTGTCAGTTTTATTTTATTAATGATGGTGATTTAGAAAACATTATTCAAACAAAACGGATGTTCTCTCGATGATTCAATAATTTTAAACAATTGAATTATAATGTTTGACCTTCAGGATAACGTTACCTCTAAGCGAGAGTAAAATTTGAACTACCTATAATTGTGTGGTATGGAAATAATTTTCACAAATCACGATGTTAGAAAGTCAAGATAGGTATACATATAATGTATTGTAGTTTTATGTCACAATTATTAATAGACAAAGTTTCAAAACTAAGTGCATTATGACTTTTCACAATTACACATTTCAATAAAATACTTTACTATTTAATTAAATCGACACTTTTTAATTCATACTATTTTAAAGACAAAAGTAAAAAGCATAGATATTGGATATAAGATGAAATCAAAACGGCCTCACAGAAAACCGACGTGAAGCAACGCTTGCGTTGTGTTTCGCTGTATGTGTGAGGTTACCGGAGGCCCAATTACCCTCCCCTTCCCCAATCTCCCCAATTCCTGAATCCCTAACGATCCTCAAACTCCTAATCCCCAAATGGCCGGCAACGCACTTGTAACGCCTCTGATGTTCCAGGTATCCATGGGCGACGCCGATTGCTTACCTCAGATGACCCGTCTACTCGTTTACCGGCTTATTCCATAAAAAAATAAAAAATAAAATAATGGGACACAAAAACATCTACCGATCTACCAAAGAAATTATTTGTAGAATATTCCATAAATCATATCTCACAAGTAATTGATAAATAAACGCGCCATTCAGGTCCCTTGTAATAAATCTGCATAAAACGATGGCACGCTTGTCACTGAGGTAAACAGCACAGTGGTTGCAAAGGTTATGTATTGTGGATGCAATAAATGCACGATGCATTGCATAAGGCGCCAAGTGAACTTATGCCCTATGCACCCACTTTGGTCACGTCCTTAAAAACGAGATTAATAAGAAGATGTCTCGATAATGATTGAGCAGTTCCATGAGATTAGGAATTAGGTATCTGCCTAATTATCAGTCATTAACTAGTTTAGAATTTAAGTTTCCTTTTTAGAAAAGAATATATTTAAAATATTTTTGAGGTTAAACTTGATAGTATCTATGGCTATTGAACATAACATCACGCCTTTTTTATCCCCGAAAGGGTAGGCAGATGTGCACATTACGGCACTTAATGCCACTGTACAGTTTAACATTTATGTTATGAGTCCCATGTAATAGGGGGTGAGCCTATTTCCATATACCGGACACATTTCCAGACTCCGTGCTACTACTGAGATTTTTAAAAACCCAGTAATACTTTGCCCACCCTGGAATCGAACCCGAGACCCCTTGCCCGACCACTCGGCCAACGAGGCAGTCGCTATGGCTATTCTATTCAATTTTTAGAGGTATAAAATAACATTTGAATTTAATTGAAACCTTACAGAATATTCGAGCCTTTGTAGATATAAACCAACGCTTCTTAATTTAAAAAAAAAAGTAATAAAAACCGAAATTCTCTATTGTACCTTATCTATTAACATTTTTATGCAAATTATATACATTGTGTCACGTCAGTGACCAAAATGCATTAAACTTTGTTAGACAATTAGTCATTGGTCAACGACATTTTATTATAAGTAAATTGCATTGCAACGTGCAATATTATAACAGCAACAAGAAGGTTATCTAGAAATTAAATAGGTAATAAATATTAGCCGCAACTACATAGGTACCATTACGCTAAATTATATTTATAAATAAATACTTATTAATGTTATTATAAACATTTTTAAAAACAATACTCACGGAAATATTAACACACAATACAAATATCATTAATTTATATCCATCCAAATCAATAATACAATTTATTAGGCTATTATTAAAAATAACACTATTATAAATTAAAGCCCTTGAGTGTTTGTAATATTATTATCATAAATTGTCTACTTCCTAATAAGATGTGATCAAAAATATCATGGTTGTACCTGCTAAGGTAAGAGATGGCCTTCTGCGCCTAAATGCTAAAGATGCAACATCCTTCAAGGGTCAGGAGTTCACGTCCCAGCATGGGATATAATTTATAGAATCATTTAAGTCTGTTTAGTATTTCTTAAATGGTTTCTAGCACTTTTAGAGTCCATAAAAAGTAAAGTCTTTTGAAGTTTACTATTTACTTACTAGTTTTCTTGTTTTACGTCTAAAGGGAGTGTCAAATCCGTTTAAAAAAACTAAACATTTCTAATTGGCAATTTTAATAGTGAGACCAAAAGTTGAGATGGTGGGAAACAATATTATTAATAATCCACCAACATCAAACAAAACAACCACACACATACCACATAACCATAAGGAACCCTTATAAGTAAACCCTTATACTCAGATAAAAAACAGGCCTGGAATCTATACAAGGTCGTAACCTCTAAGAACTATATTATTGTTACACCGACAAAAAAAACTAATTTAATTAAACAACTCGTCAATAAGTATCTGAAGAAAATTGAACCCAAGACTTTATTGAGGAACACAGACGCTTAACTGTCAATCATGATTCTATTGTAAATTGCATTAATGCAAATAATGCAAGGAAAAGTTTTAAAAAATTATAAAAAAAATACTTTAAAAAATAAAGAGAAAAATAATCCCTAGCCCTTATCCTATTGTAATAAAAATCTATATTTCAAACAAAATACATATAAAACTCACCATTGTGATATTGTATGAAGCACTTGATAATTCAGGATGAGCAATGATTATATCCCATGTGGTTTGGTTCGCGGCGTGTGCGCCCGATTGTACTTACTCGTCTAATCACCTGTCCCTTATATAGAGACGCGGATTTGTCTAGCCATTGCATGTGGCCGGGGGAGCCTGCACTCTGTGCAACACAGGGATGTACTTAGGCCTACGATATTAGCAACAACAAAAATATTATGAACAGTGACTAAACCTCAACAAATATCTTTGAGATTATACGAAAGTATAAAGTTTCATAGAAATATTTAGGTATGACCCGGAATTTACGTTTTCAGTTTCAATCAAAAGTCTTTTTGTGACGGCAAATTATACGAGACATATTTATCAATATTGTGTATCGAGTTACGATAGTATTCTACAACACTGATTCTATTAAGGTGGGTTTTTTATATCATTTAGTATTAATACAATTATTTAACATTTTTATTTTGTCTAATTAGGTGGTGCAAAATGTAAAATACTTTTTTACAAATACCAATAACTAGGAAAAATGTCTAACTTACTTAATAACAACACAGACATCAAAAAATAATATTATTAACAAAATTAACATAAACATTATTACAAATTTTAAGTGTCTTTTTATTAGTTTCGTCTATAAAAACTAAATTTTACGACTTAATTAGTGCATTGATTATTATTTGACAATATATTAATGTAAATCCATTTACGATTTACAGTTTATTATTACACCCTGCTGCTTTGCGACGCATAGTTGTCAATTTTATTATTGTTTACTCAATTTTGGGAAGTTAGAAGTTAGTATAATTTTATTAAAATGTTATTAGTGCACTAAATTATGTACACATAGTGATCATAAATTCCAAATTTACGACTGAAACGTCCACTTTGTTTAAATAAGTTATAAATTCTTCATTGGCATTGATTTTATTGTGTTCTTTACAATCAAATTGTATTTCAATAAATATTCATTAAAGCCTAATTCGTTCCTTTATTAAGGGCCAGTTTACGAACTCAGTTTTATAGACTATTTTATTGATACATATGAGTGCTGTTAATAGGCATGATTATAAATTTAATGGCAATAAAAGGTATAAGATTAGTAATAAAATTGATAAGAAATGTATGTTTAACCTTTGTGCCCATGAAATTAATCTTTATGGCTTTAGCCAACTTTGTTAATCAATGTATTGATAACTAGTGGAAAATTGAGGGCAAAAATTATTGGTACAAAATATTTTGATTGTTTATGGTATAAGCGGGTAAACTAGCAAGACGAGTAAGACGGATCACCTGATGGTAAGCATTCGGCGCCGCCCATGGACATCTGAAACACCAGAAGCGTAAAAAGTGCAGACCCGGCCTAATCACCAAAGAGATTAGGAATGTGAGGTTTGTTGGGGATTCAGGAATTAGGAAGGGTTATTTAGACCTCTGGTAACCTCACATACGACGAAGCATATTTTCATAGAAATTTGACGGAAAAAGGAGATTTTATCATAATCATATCTAGATATGACTTGATTAATAGCTTCTTGTGCACTTAAAACAATCTGATCTACCTTTCATACTGTCTATAAATAACCATGCATTTCATTCTAACTTTGACATTAAATTGACTGCGTATAGCCTAGGTGAATGATGTATTCAATAGTAGTTATCCAGAGAATATAATCATATCATAGAGTTTATCGCGACGTCTCGTGTGTGTCATAGTCCGTCCCTTGGTCGTAACATTATCTCGTTCAACGTACAATAGAATAAGTATCAAGAGTCTCGTAAAACGATGGCCAACCCAACACTTAAATGGTACGCACGCTTTATGTCAAATGCATTGCAAATTGCGCCCGCGCCACGAAGATGCCACTGCGCTTGGCATTTTACAATTTTATTTAAACTTGGAACTTATTAACTGCTTTGACATACCAACACACTTACATACGAAACATGAAGAGTCAATATACGTGCGTTCGTTAGTTGGTAACATTTACACATTTAGCCACTGGTTTGCTCATAAGATTTACCTAAACGAGATAATTTTAAGAAATATACTCGTAGAATGTATAGATTTTATTACTTTTTCCTTAAACATAGAACAAGAATATTCTTAGCTTTTGTAATAAAATAAGTTATTTTATATTAACTTCTATTTGTAACTTTAATATTTTATTTTACATAGCTTGCATTTTATTGTGATTACTGACGAGACATCACTAGGGCTTTAGGTACTCAGTGAAGAATATGAATTTTGCTCAAAACTTGGCTTCAATGATTAATGGCCCTTGTTAATTAGCAAAATATCTCATTTTCACAAAGCCATTTAAACTAAAATATCCGCAATACTACAGGATTGTGCATATCGCCTTTATGCAGTTACAACTTAATTTCTATAAAGTGTAAAATGAGTCGTTAAAATGTACCACCATTCAACCTCACACATAGCTTATGAAACAGTAATAGAGTAATGGCCCTACAACATGTTTATTTCCTTATAATAAATGTATAGTTCAACTTTCATGGGCTTTTTATAGCCGTTTTATAGCTCACATTATATCGGAACTAGTTTCTAAGTATTCATAAAGACAATTTGTCCATCCACACGTGGGGTTATTTAATTTGTCATGAGCCTATAAAAAGGTTTCATTAAAAGTTATTATTGTGCTAGGATATTAAGTAATAAGTGTAAAGGTTTTTATGTGAATCGTTCTACTTCTAATCTTGTAAAGATAGAAAAAATGGTTGTGATATCATTACAATACAAATCTTTCTAAAAATGAAAAATGTTAAAATCTATTTACAAATTATTTTTAAATGAAAGATAATGTAATCAATCAGTAACTCATTTGCTTTCATCAACGATTTTTGTAAAAATACTTTAAAAATATGAGTACCTACTTTAATTAATTCATACAAAAACGTGAATTAATCACGTTCATAATATAATGATTTTTAATACTCAATTCTAGTTTTTTCGCTAAAACACAGTGTCATCATCATCAATCATTCATTACATTGAACTACCGAATTTCGAGGTTAGCATCATTAGTGTACATTAGGCTTTTCCAATATCAAACAAGTACTTAAAATTCTTCAATAACTATAGATTATTATATCAAAGATGGATGAATAACTGGATCGTTACGAACAAACAGGTAATACATACATTAATAAATGCATAATCCTTTACCGTATCATAAATCTTGGGATCTGTTACGAACATACTTGCCTAGTTATGCATTGTTAATTATTTAAATAACTTATATAGAAAAAGTACTATACTTTATTGATAAATATTACAATTTCTTACAAATATCATCCGAAAAGGTAGCCATCGTAAGTAATCTAGATTGTACTATTTTATCTAAACGTATCTTTATTAATTGCTCTACAATCCCAAGGTTTAACATAAATATATTAATTAACCTAACTCAGATATCAATTTAATCTAATTATCACTCATACTCGCCCATAGAATACAATTCTAATTAAGCATAAGGAGCATAAAGGTCTCCAATTACTGCGAAGCATAGAATAAGTTGTAACAATTTGCCAGTTAATTAAAACTAAAGAGACAATGTCAATGATAAGCTTAAACCGTACAATTGTGTAAACCTTAATTTAACAGGTCATCGGACCAAATTTGAAGACAATAAAACTATTATAGTATTGTTTTCGTGCACAAAAGCTAATTACTTATAGTTTTGTGTGCGAATACCGGTGGAGGTTAATCTCATTGCTTTAGTAGATGGGCGATTAGAAGGATCATTTGTGTGGGACAATTTCTCACACCTCTGGTTTTGGTGGTAATGTCACACGCTCCCACCAACCAGTACTGCTAATGACAATACCAACCTATTAAAAAGAACCTACGTGTTGAAATGAAGTACAGAATTGCGTGTTGAGCGAGATGGTAAACAACCAAAATTTGCTTGTAAGAAAATGTTGATTTAAAAAACTAATAGTGCGTTTACCTACTCCTAAAAGAAGAAATTCATCCTTAGTGTGAAAAATACGAGTACACAAAGAATTGCAATTCTAGGTTAACAATAAACACAATCATCGTTAAACCGTACTTGCAAACAATTACATACACAAAACAACATACTATCGATATAATTACAACGATAAAGGTGCGAAAAATTCAGTTGCGGCAACGATAATTAATTTGCTAAAGAAAGTTACATACAGAATTGATAATCTATTGCATTAAAATTCAACAAAAACAATAACAATGGTTTATTCTGTAATAAGATTCGTGTTTCTTTCGGTGAAGGGAAGTAGTAACATTGGCAACTCACTCTTTGCTTTCATCAAACATGTCATATTGGCACACTTACTGTGAATGACAAAAATCATTCATGTTTGCCACATTGAAGTCGACTATGATTCTCGTAAAACCTACAGTACAGTTATGTGGTTGCTGATATGATAGCATTAGTTTAAAACAAATGTTAAGGAAAACTATAAAACAAGAAATCATGCGGAATTACAAACTTAGATTTAACATTATTACTTATCATCATTATCATTTCTGCAAGTAACTAATGCAATTATAACAAAACACATACCGTGTACCTGATTTAATTGAACCTAATTTCAACTCAAAATTGCAATACAGAGACGTGACAATTCTCTGCACCGAGTCTTATTCAATCAAACCATCATTAAGTACAAGGGTGACATCAAAGAGACATTTGATTAACATAGCTACAGCAAAAAATATCTGTTGAATAAATGAACTTTACGATGTTCGACCAGTCAACATTCGCCGCTCACTACGTCAGCATTGCTTGAGGACAGTCGCAATTACCACTGGATGTACTTATTTCTAAACTATATTAATCCCTAATGCCCTAATCCCTAATTTCTATGCTTGTTAATATACATTTACTTTTATTTTTTTTTATTTTAGACTGCCTCGTTGGCCGACTGGTCGCTAGTGCGACTGCTGCTTGGTACAAGAAAACTTTAGGATACTGGTATCCTGTTGG